AGACAAAGGCTACTATGTGGCTGTAGGTGACAAAATTATACAGATCAGACTACGTCCTGAATTTAAAAGCTAGTAACTAAAGGGAAACCCAAACTAGTTGGAGATGCTCTGTCAGAAGGGGCATGCCCATTGGAGGAGAGCTGGGTGGGAGGTGCTGTCAGAAGGGGCACAGAATGAAAACAGCATGGAATGTCATGCATAGAAGACAACTGGTCTGCTTCTGCATGGTCTTAGTCTTTTCACAATATTCTGAAAATGAAAGTAACGTTTTAAGTAAAGGTAATTTAATATACTGACTTGGAAATAAAACAATTACAATATTTGCACATGCTTTAAAGACTAACAAGAATTGGTGCAGTACAACTGACATGTATGAAGCAGTAGTATACTTTGTTTTAAGAATTAAAAACACTTTTCAGTAATAACTCACTTCCCTTATAAATCTAATAAACATCTCTGAAAACATTTAATTGCCACAAAAAGACACCCAGACAGTGCCTTTTCCATTTCAAAAAGAAAGGAAAAGCTTCACAATAATAACAGGTTACTCACCTCATCTGAGCACACCTCATTCTATGCGACATAGTCTTGGTTGAAAAATACAGAGCACAAAGTACTATTTACGTGTTAGCAATTTTTAAGCTTTTAACAAACTGTTAGTGTTCCGTACCACATGAAAAAAGAAATGCCAGCTAATATGGGCTGCCTTGTTTTATCTACAGATGAGCAATAAAAATAAATCATCCAAAGCTTAATGTTACAAGTAACTGTTACTTAAAAAGAATTAAAACAGAAATAAATTACAATTTACTACTATCAAGTACTACACTATCATGGAGAAACAGTGCCACCTTTGGGTGATTATTCATTAAACATTTTGTCGATGTTCTGTATCTGTTCAATTCTGAAGTGTGTGTGTGTGTGTGTGTGTGTGTTTAATTATAGGAATGGTACTATACAACAACTTAAAATGCTTAATTCAAGTCTGACCTCTTTTGGATTCTGTGATCTATGTTGCACTGTTTTACTAGGATAACACAAAAAATGTGACAAATAGTTTTTGTGTGGAGAGAAAATATGCAAATGTAGAGAGTACCCTCTGGGGTACCATGAAATTTTTTAATGGTACAAAGACTACCCTTCTGTATTTCCCATAAGAACATGCAATAAAAATGACCCTTAATACAAAACATTTAGAGACAGAGCAACAGTTTGGAAAAACCTTTGCCAAGAATGCAAATGAAGGATGACCAGACATGTTTTGAACCTGCTACTGTTTCAATATTAGTTACGTAAATAATACTGATGGCAATAACCGGGGCGATTGACTATGTACATATAAACTGTACAGGCTCATTGCATATTACCCAGATGTGTGAACTAGGGACTCAATTCTGCTTGTCTGGCCGAATGGCATGTGGGCTGCTGGGATCACTATATGGCACTGTAGGGTCAGACACACGGCCCAGCTTTATGCGCTTTCCAGTCTGGCCACAAAAGACATTTTGAAACTCCTGTAAGGAGAAGACAAGGTGATAAAGAAACAGAAAAAAAGTTCAGGCACATTTAAAACAGATTTTCACAAGTGTTGGCTATTTTTTTCCCATACCCTGGCACCCAAGTCTATTTCCAAATATCTGCATGTGTGATTTGCCCCACGGGCCACATACCTGCTTGAGGCTGTCACCGTAGATCTCCTTGAGATACTTGAGGAAGGCAGTGGTCCACTGCAACGTGGTGGCCTTGTCCGTGTCAAAGCTGCAGAAGGGTACGAGCTTGTTCAGCTCATCGCAGCAAATTCGAATCCTCCGACTGCAACAGCAGCAAAGAAAGAGGAGAAAGAGTGTAAATACCTTCTCTGTAAACATTTTAACTCAGTCACAATTTAAAACACCAGAAAAACTGTGCCAGGTATGTACCCATCCTTAATAAGTATCATACTGTATAAATGGTGTATGTTAATGTTACATAATATTAATTTCTTATCAGATTTAAAAGTTTAATTGCTAAACAGTCAGCTGTTTAATTAAAGCAGGGGTGGCCAATCTTATCCGCAAAGGGCCGGTTTGTATGTGGGTTCTCGTTGCAGATTACTAACTAGAGGACTGATTGACTGAAGAGTCCTCACACCTGGGTATGAACAGCTGACCTAAAGATTATCCCAAAAACCTGCATACACACTGGCCCTTTGAGGATAAGATTGGGCACCGCTGAATTAAAGTGACTTGAACATAGTTGGTTATTCTGCTAATTTAGCAAAAGACACGAGCCTTAGTTATAAACACCACCCAACCCCAGCAATCAAATGCCAAGCTGGTTGAGGAGTGCTCAGATAGGACAGCCCTTACCGACGGTCTCGCTCCATGCTGTTGTGCTTCTCTCTTCGCTGCAAGCTTTCTCCCGTCACACTAGCCTTGCGAACGCCAGCTGCCTCCTCTCCCACCCTGACCGCATTCTGGATATCACTCAGGGTGTGACGCTCAAGGCACCCTGGACGCAAGTTTGCCCGAGCACGCCTCACGGGCAGTGCTGGCTTGTGCTGAGCCTTGTCTGCAGCAAGACACAAGGGGAAGTCTGAATGGATGCAGGGATGCACACGCCTTTGGGAAATTCAATACACAATATTTAACAGAACAAAGGAAAATAAACGTAACAAATATTAAAGAACACTCACCCTCCAGCTTAACCCAAACTTCAGGTCCAGCAACAGACTTGCAAAATCCCACCTTCGGAGGCTGCGAGTCCTGCTGGAAGCTAAAGCTGAGGTTCCTGGGATACTTGGCAGGACCCACTGTGTGGCGCACGGCTGTCAGGCTCTGAGGTACATGGAAAATGAGTCTACAGGTCCCACCCAGCTTCAGCTTTCGCTGGGGATCAGGCACTGCAGTGACTTACAAGTGACCAAATGTTTGTCCATCCATCTCAGTGTCCTTGGGGACCTCCAAACAGTCCACGTTTCTGCTCCCTCCCAGCACACCTGTACCAGCCATTTGGTGTTCTTGATTGGCTGGGAGCTGGGAGGGAGAAGAAATGTGGACTGTCTGGAGGTCCCTGAGGACTGGGTTGGGGAACATTGATCTATCTGGACGGTTCACACTGCACCCTATTGAGTCTAGGCCAGTGTCCTGAAGCTTTTATATGCTGAATGCCAGGCACCTCTCTCTGCGTGTATAATAAGTACAAGCAGGTCACACAACCAACTCTCTTCAGGACTTTTAATACAACCACCCCTCCCAAGTTTGCCCACCTGGCCGTGTGCCGGTAAGGATCCCTCTGTGGCCCCGGGGGGCGCCAGTCTCCCCTGGCCCATCTTAAGGCACTTAATCGGCTCGGAGGCCGCAGTGACTCCCAGAATCTCCGAGGGATGGTGCAGTATAGACAGGAAGCTGAAACGGAGACAGAAGGGACCTCAGATCCCAGGCTGTCAGTACCGGCACCTCAGACCGGCGCTGGGTCTGGCTCACCTGCTCAGCGCTGCCCCCTGCTCATGAGAGGCCTGCAGGTGCGGCATTTCGAAGCGCTTCTCCAGACACACCCGGGCCGCGGGGCTGGGGCGGGTCTCGGACGACGCCCCTTGCCCCCCTCTGGCCACCACGCTTCTGCCCTGGGCCCTAGCTAAGATAGGCTCAGGGACCTCTCCGCAGCCATTCGGGGTCCTCTCATTGGCCGGATCGCCGCCGGGGATCATTCTCATTTCCGGGAAGTCCGGACTGTGCCCGTGGGGGGACGGCGTGCGCCCGCTGCGAAGTGCCGCCGGGCAGGGCGTTTGGGCCGCTGCATGATCACCCTCAGTAGAGGTGGGGGTATCGAGCTGCACTGCGTGGACAGCCGGACAGGACACGGCGCAGCCCATGTCCAGACCCGCGTCCCCCGGCTCACTCTGCTCTGTCGCCTCCATGTGTGAGTAAAAGATGTGCTGGAGGTGTGTGTACTCCACCTCGGTCATCTCCACCAGACTAAAGTCGGCCAGACCCTGACCGTTAACGGCGGGTCCTAAAGTCACCTCAGCTGAGGCCGTGCAGCACTCCCCCGAAGCCGGGTGTGCGTCACTCGATGAAGACATTACGGCTTTTAATTCGAGGCTTGCCAGCTGTACACAAATAAAAAGAAAATGAACCGAAGTTAAGAAACCAACGTTTTAGCTGACAGATGGTCTGTCAAATTTAATATTATATTAAAATATGTGATTGGCTGTGCTAATACGAAAATACTTTTGTTAAGTACAGATAAAACGATAATAAAAACGTGAGGGTTGACACTGGCGTCCGCGCGGCGCTCGACGTTTCGCGCTCTCGTCAGAGATGTCCTCGCGGACTCGCGAGGCAGCGCCGCGAGCGTCGCCGGGAATCACAGTTACGTCCCTGCTGACAGTCTGCAGCGCCAACGCGTATTATCGGCGGCTGCTCTTCCATAAAATGACAAAAGAAGGGTGGTCAGGAACCAGATGCCCGCACAGAGCTTACGCTGTGCATTACAACCGTAAAACCGTACATTTAAAAATACAAAAAAACGCAGCTTTTCTACGAAGAAATAGTTTAATGAATAAATATGATGGCACTGGGAAGCTGAATGAACGTTTCCGAAAAGATTAATGAGAAAAAAAGGTGATTGGTCATTATTGGCAAGCCGGCTGCAGCCGGCCAGTGAGCCGCAAGCTCATTCCGGTGACGTTGACGCCTCCTTTTCTCCGCCCAGTTTCCCCTCGGTGGGGTGGGAGACCCGGAGCAGCGGGTGTACTGTTTATTTAGTGTTCGTGCAGCATCCCAAAGTTGAACTACTTGCCTAATGATCCAAAATAAAGGGTTTTCTATTGCAGCTCTCAAAATCCCCTACACAAACACAAGTATTAAGCAATATCGTAGTTCCCATGTTTCATACTGTAGGGTTTCCTGTTGCGGATCAAACAGGCAAGAACGGTCATTCAGCACCCATCTTTTTTTCCTTCGACGGTGAAATGTGTAATTGTAATTTTCGATTAAGTAGTTCATTTGTAATTGTAATACGGTTTTGAACTGATCGTATTCATATTAACTTGAAAGAAAAATCATGTCCTACACAGAGATCGGTTACTGTCAGCGTGGATGCGGAAATGTAAACCAAACGGCGCTAAAAATAAATCCTCTGTAGTGTCACCAAGCTACAACCTTAGTTATGACGAAGGATAGACATATATCACAAAATAACGATTTGAAATCAATGTTCGTAGGGGTGAAACATAAATGCTCATGAAGGCATTTTGTTTCATATTTAATAAAGCCATGCATTTACTGTAAAATATAGACAGGAGGAAGAAGTACTTCAGCGGAAAATCTGTCAGTTTTACGATATTTCTGATATTCCGGATAATTATATTTTTCGAAATTAAAACACTTAAGTACTTAGCAGGGTCGCCAACTTTCACACATCTGGCATGACACTAATGCTTTCAGACTCCTGCAAGAAATCTTACGGCAAATGTATATTCCATTACAATGCCAAAATGAGCTACATCAAAAGTGTAGTAGTTTGCAAACCCAACAGACTATTAAGTCAAACTGTTACATACAAATGCGTGTACAGACGAATTGAAAATGTAATTCTAACCAAAGCTGGGAACCCCGTATTAGTTAAATATAAAATAACGAAAAATGTAGCGGTGTTATTTTAACCCAAACCTACAACTGACTAAATAATGCAGACACACCAAGGATAAATGTGGCAATAAGACAAGAGAATAGAGATTTAGAGGTTTAATTGGTTATTTTTAAACAAAACAGGACCGGCTTCAAACACAACTGCCGGTGATGAGCATTACTGTAGAGCTACAACCGTTGTGTACTAAAATTATTTAACATACAAGCACGTACACGGACTGCAAACTGGAATCCTCACACTCTTCTCAGTTTTCGTGTATCCATTCAAACTATATGGCTTATGATTTTCTACTTAGAAAACGTGTTTAAAAAAACATACCTATATACACAATTATACATAAATATTTACATTTTTGTGGTGTTCCATGTAATTAGTTATGCACGTAAGTCATTTTTTAAAAAGTCCCCTCTCCTGAAAGAGGGAACAGTATATACTGAAATACAAGATAATAGCATGGTATCACAAAATTTGCCTGACACACACACTGAACTCAAATGACTTTGAAATACAACTTCAGATGGTACAACTGATAAAATATGGAGGAAGGAATTATCAAAATCTTTTAATACAAACTACAGTAGCACCGTTAAGTAGTACTCTCCACCCATATTAAGTCTCTTTTCCTTGTATTTACATTTAAGTCCATCCAAGGAACACCTTTAATATGGTCATCTAATGAAAGAATGACAATTAGATGTCAGCATGAAGTCCAGAAAAGAAAGAAATCAGGATGTTGCATTTTTGCTAGCAGCAGTCTCTGTTTCTGAAGTTTTTTCACTTTCCTTCGGGGTTTCAGATTTGTTTTCTTTCCCCTTTTCTTTACTCTTACTCCTGTCTTTTCTGTCTCTGTCTCTGTCTCTTTCTCTATCCCGATCCCGATCTCTGTCTCTTCCACGATCTCTGTCTCTATCTTTTCCTCTGTCTCTGCTCCTTGATCTGTCACGGCGTCTATCCCTGCTGTCCCGGTCGCGGTCTCGATCTCTCTCTCTGTCTCTGTCACGATCTCGGTCACGGTTTCTTCCTCTGTCACGGTCATGGTCTCTCCTGTCAGAGTCTCTATCCCTACCTCGTTCCCTTTCTCTGTCTCGGTCTCTGTCACGGTCCCTGTCCCTCCTCTTATCGCTGTCTCCCTCTCTGTGCCTATCCGCTTCTCTTCCTCTGCTACGGTCTCTCTCCCGGTCTCTATCCCAGTCTCTCTCTCTGCTCCTGTCCCAGTCCCGTTCTCGGCTCCAGGGTTTCCCAGAGTTCCTGTCCCACTGCCTAGCAGAATGGCCGCTGTCCCGATCCCTTCTCCTGTCCTCGGATACCTCTCTTTGCCTTTCCTCTGAAAGCCGAGAGGGCCCTTGGGCACCCTCCCTATCACGGTGTGTGCCTTCAAACCTGCCTGCCCTGTCCCCATTGTTGCGCTGCTCGGAGTCCTCTCTGCTACTGCGTCTCCTCATCTCAGGAGAATGCCTCCAGTGGTCCTCCCGGTGGGAATCAGGGCTGTGGCCTGCTCGGTTTGGCAACTGAATGGGTCCTTCAGGAGGAGTAGGCAGTAGAGGCCCAGAATGACGCAGAGGCCGTATTTCTGGTGGGTGATGGGGACCTTCAAAACGGAATCGTGGCTGTCCTCCTCTGTTGTCTGGAAAATGACTGGGTGGGGGAACTCGGGGCCCTGCAAATGGCACTACTGGGGTTCCTCTTGGCCCTTGAAACTCAGCAGGATGAGGGCCCCTTGGGTCCTCAAAAGAGCCTCTATGAGGAGGTGAAGGCATTCTCTGGTTGTGAAGATGAGTAGGGGCTGCTGGTCCACTGAATCGGTTTGGGGGTGGATAACGTTGCCCCCCCATATCAGCAGATGGACCTCTCCGGCCATCAAATTGGTTGTGTGGGGGACCCCGGAATGGGGGCCCCTGTGCCAATGTCTGGTTCTCTCTGTACATCAGTGGCGGTGTTTCACCCTGGTGTGGTTCGATACCCTGCTGATACGTATTGCCACTGTTATCATACGGCTGCTCATCAGGACCTCTTGGTGTATCCAGTAGTGGCTTTTGAGGAACATGTTCTCCAAATTGATGAGGAGGGGGTGGGCCTCTTGGGCCAGGAAAGTGGGCGGGTGGGGGAGTTCTATTGTCAAAGTGGACAGGTGGTGGTCCAGAAAATGGTGGTGGGGGACCTCTGGGTCCAGGAAAATTGAATGGTGGTGGGGGTCTATTAAATCTAGGCTGGAGAGAACCATTTTGCCCATCAAATGAAGGGGGGGGAGGACAATGACCCTCGAACTGCGATGGAGGTGGGCCCCTCGGTCCCATGTGCTGGGGGGGTATAGCGCTCATAGAATTATCAAATATCTGAGGTGGTGGTCCTCTTTGACCAAGGGGCTGGAATGGAGGAGGACCTCTTGGTCCCATCATAGGCTGGGGTGGTGGTCCTCGAGGTCCTTCAAACTGTTGCTGAGAGCCCCCCCACTGATTCTGATAAGGTGGATAAGGACCTGGTGGGGCATATGGGGATGGATCTCGGTACTGGGACTGATCACTCTCACCTTGCAATGGCGGAGGCCCCTGTATTGGGGGAGGCCCAGGTGGATGTTGAAAAGGTATATGAGGTGGAATTTCCTGAGAGTTCCCAAACTCAGGGTTTATAATACCCATATGTGGCATATGAGGAGTCTGAACATCCACTAGAGATGAATTAGTCTGTGCCATGTCCTGGGAGATCCCAGGGAAAGGACCTGAGGGCGCTGTATTCATGGATCCACTGTAATATGAAGTCTGAGATGACTCTAGTGCAGGTAAATCTTGGGGCTGTTCAAGATTTAGCTCTTTAGCTTTCAAAATGCTGGCAGAATTTGGCCAAGTAGTGTAAGGGTTACTTTCAATTTCTGGCTTGGAGTTATCCTGGCTGTTTTTTTCAGGCAGCTCAACAAATGAGTTATCCTCCATTTCAGGTTCTATTTTCTCTCCCAGTAGGGGGATAGATATTTCCGCATTCTCAGTTTCCAAGAAAGGCACCGGCTCAGGTTGTGTTTCTGCTGGCACCTGTATTGTTTCTGGTTGGGATGAGTCTGGCTGTGTTGAAGCTATTTCTGTAGTGGGAACTTCAGTGCAAGGTTCCTTTTCCGCTGCGTCGCTCGTTAATCTACGATTAGCTGCAGCCTGCCGTGGGTCCCTACTTTGTCGTGGGTCTCTTCTCTGATTTATGACTGGTGCAGCTGAAGTCTTTGCAGCCATTTCATCCACCTTTTTGCCAAGCTGTAGCAACTGACTGTTTGCCAACAATGATTTAGAAGGCTGGGGCATCAGGGTATCAGGAATTAAGTGGGAAACACCAGCTGTTGCCCTCTGTTGACGAATGGATTCTTCCTGTTCTTCCAGCTGGCGTTTCTGCTCTTCAATTTGCATGTTCAGCTCTTCTAGCATTTTCTGTTGTTCGGTCAGTGAAGTACCACCACCAAGAGCAGTGCTGCTGCACTCAGCTGAGGTTTTTGCCTTTGACTCTCCAGGGAGGTCACCAACACCACCTTTTACTTCATCAAAGATGGTTTCATCTTCTGGATCATAAGCCACATCATCAACCTCAGCAGATGTGGGCTCAGGTACTTTCGTGGCTACAAAAACGTTATCTGGAGCAGCTAATGTCTTTGTGCCATAGCCCTTTTCTGGGTCATACTCTTCCTCTGGATCATATGGGCGGTCATCCTCATCTTCCTCCACCTCTTTTGGGTATATCTGTCCAAATTGCTGAACAATTGGATCAAGTAGTGTGGCTGGAGGCACTGTAATATCAACAGACCTCTGCTCTGAAGGGGAGAGAGAGACATCAGTGTCTTGTTTCTTCTTGCCAAATAGGGTCTTCAGGATGGTTTGGAGGGGAGTGGCGGTAGCATCAGTGGTAGATGTAGAAGATGGTGAATCTTTACCAGAGGGAACAGAGACTGGGGGCTTGGCAGTGGAAATGAGAGAGAGCATGGATGGAGCTGGAAGAACACCTGATGAAGACTCGGAAGAGCTAATGGGAGGAGAGCCTGGAGGAGTTGTGCTCATAGGTATCTCTGGGTTAATCCGCTGCACCTTTTCTGGTTTGACATCACTCTTGGGAAGAGCAGGTGGCTTGGGAAGGCCAGTGTCATCAGGATCTCGGGTCTGAATTTTGGCTCGCTTGTCTTCACTTTCCAGAGGTACCCCAGCACGCTTCTTCTCTTTCTGGCAAATAACTAGGCCAAGAAGAAGATTGGGACGAGCTGGTTCCAGGCCTATATGACAGCACAGAAATAGGCATGAATTTCAGTTATAACTTGAAAACATATTGTGATGAAAAATATGTAATATGCCAACCCAGAAAATATACGTTAAACATACATACGGACACTGGTCTCATAAATGAGAGCTTGTTTCAACCAACTGCAAATTTAGCTTGAAACAAAAAAACAACACAAATTTCACATGTAAATAATGGATTCAATTTCACATTGAAAAATCATTACAACCAAAAGAGACCTTTCCCCTTTAAATATTATTTGAAAAGTTTTGAATTTTCATGATGCCTGTACTAACAATGAATGGGTACAGTGATTCAGTTACAACTAGTGGAAATTTCTATTAGAGGATAAACTGAAATCAATACAGATATGATTTACATTATTATTTTTTTAAATGTCACGAGACATAACCATCCATCAGTACTACAATCAACAATAAATGAAGCAACCCTCAATAAGAGAGCAAAGACTTTATTGCAGCCTTTCCTGTGGGTTTAGTTTGTTGTGTGAACAGCAGTCTGTAAAAGCAGCAGAGCTCCCTTCACAGAGTCCCGAGCCAGCTGTAGGAATCCAAAGTTCAGCAGTCCATAAACTTGTTGTCAATGTCCAAAGCCACAGCAGAAGCCCCAAGCAGCTGAAGGCCAGGTGACTGGTCAAACACAGCTCTTAAAGCATTTATGAACACACCAAGTCATGTTATCATGCAGTAATTTCTGCACTTTGAGAGTACTTGTGTACTAGTTCAGGTTCTTATGATGTGCATATGCTTTGATCTGATTAAGAAAAATTGCAGCTTTAAAATATACATAACAGATTTAAAATAATTACATGTGTGTGCACTCTTTCCCAGATAATGTTTACATTTTTTGCATTCTGGCTGATTAACAGGTCTTCCATTCAACATAGATATGGTTCTGTTATGTTCCAAGACTGGTCAGTAGATGGTTGCATAGCAACTAGACCAGAAGTGTCCCTGACGTTCTTCTAGTTGATGGTACTTAATTAGTTCAGAATTGTGTAAGTATTCAGTAAAACTATAAATGGTTAAACTATATGCATAAAATCACCTCGTATGAAAGTGTCTGCCAGGCAAAAGCAATTATGTGGGCTAGAGTTACTTAAAAGTGTGGCGTTTCTGTCAAGACAGCAAATCCCACTGGGCCTCCAGGAAAATTGCTCCTCCTCCTGCTGTAACTGGAAGAATCCATGGCTTCACAATTGTCCTCTATGTGCTTCATATGTAACGTCTCGCTCGCTTCCCAAGCTGAACTTACCACAGGTCCCCAACAAGTCCCGTAGGGCAGTAAACCTGGACCAGAGTGTCAGAGTCCAGCCAGGAAGGGCAGACAATGCCAGCAATGTGTGGTTTTATCTCCATTCAACAGGCTTCACAACCCACTGCGTTTTGCCAGTTCAGATGGTGAGACAGACGTCGCAGAGAGGACGAAATATCTGCTTTTACGTATTTCCAGAGCCCAAACCAGCTGAGGATTATATTCTTGCATACTGTGTGGTCAACATAGCAGCCAGAGGGCGCCATCCTCCCACCTTGCTTTGTTATGTGTCATACGGGAAGTGACCCTAAGAGACCGACCTCTGAAAGTGACACATTGCAACACTGCAACAGCCTGTGAATGTATAACACTCTTTATTTAAGAAAGGGAGAGTGATACAGGGAAATATACAGAGTGAGAAAACAAGCCATACAAATTAACTCAATGGGATGTATCAGTGGGAACAAGTAAAAGCATATAGTCACCCCCTTAACATCTAACAAAACCAAGGCATTCAGAAACAAGCTCTCATTTATTAGGAGACACCAGCTGAGGCCACCAGTTTGATGTTACCACAACTCACATACTTACCACCATTTCTGAATCGCCACGCATGATATAGAGGAACACACACCATAACCCAATTGTACTTTCCACTTTTCCCTAGATTACACTGGAAACAAATTCCAGAGGCATGAGAAAGATGGTGCAGAGGCCTCTGGCACATCTCCATGGTGATGCTTACCTGGCCCATCAAAGGGCAAGAGTTTGGACGGGAGGGGGTCCTTCGCACTAAGTGGGATGAGGTACAGGTCCTTGATACGGCGGTTGTTGTTGGCCACCACACCAAAACGGCGCCGACTGCTGAAATAAGAGAAGAGGGAGACATAGGCCACCTCCTCCTCCTCTGTTGCTGGGTGGAAGCGGATCAGGCACAGCTCCTGGGGGACGGAGAGGGGGAAGAAAGTAGTGGCATTATAAAATTAAGTCAACCGATTTCTAGAGCATCTTACTGAGAACAGTAAGTGGTACATGACCGCAATACACAGAAAACTCACTCAAGTTACCTTAGATAAGGAAGTCTTCAGTTTTCCCACGTAGTCCCACACAGTGTGGGGGGAGATTCGGCCGCCAATGTGGATAGTATCAGGCAAATCCTGAACAGGATTGACACATCACCAGCGAGTTATCAGCCAATCGATGGAACGCAACTGAAAGGTTCCACTTTGTTTAATGTGCATACACTTGGGATTACATTCAAAAATGTGTCATGTCAGTTATTTACAAACCCTCATTTATAAGGAAAATACCGAGGCTTGGCAAAAACGGGCAGTATGTCGACCACTGACTAGGATCTAACCTCCTTCAGGTACTCGAAAGATCCGGAGACCAGGTAGGCTTTGGTAACAAACTTTGCCACAGTATGCATGTTGATGAAACCCTTCCACATCATCTCTTGCTGGGACAGGAAGACGGCAGTTTCACTCTCTGGTGAGGAGTGCGACTCCGTCAAGCTGCAATACAACACAGTTTGGATTAGAAATCATGGAATCACTAGTTGTAGCTCATGCTTGCGCATCAGTCCTTCTGAGATAGGCAGTCTGGATGACTTCATGGAGACCGAGACATACCTGGTACCAGGTGGACTGAAGAAGCGGGTGTCTGGTGAAGCAGCAGGCTTTAACAGGATGGACTTTGGGGCAGAAGGAGGCGGAGGTGGAAGCAGCAGTGGTGTAGTTGGCTTGCTTTCCGTCACAGATAATTCTGAAGCGGTATTTGGTAGGACAGGTGTGGGGGCCGGTGCAGTTGTCCCCGAGGGGGGGCGGTATCCTGCGGTGCGTGGGTCCCGGCGTGTGATGGTGACAGAGGACACTGCAGGGATGGTGACAGGGGCAGCGAGGGACGAATACGTGGAAGAGGCTGGCAAAGCAGCACTGTCCTCTGGGGAGGCTGGCGAGTCTATGAGAGACGTTTCGCCGTCCTGAAGGGTGACCATGGCTGGGTTTCCATCACCAGATGAAGCACCTGCTTTGAGTGGTCGCGGTTCCTGCTTCCCTCTAGCCTCATTCTTCTTGGTGACAGAGGTTGATGAAAGCTTAGGCCTCTTTGGGGCAGGCTCTTCATCAGCGGACTTCTGACCTACAGGGGATCAAACACCAGAAACACGGCACCCCAACAAACGTCACGACTTTTCATGTGTTGCTGTACAAAATCACCAACTCAGCCAGACAACACACACTTCATCCACATTAAAGCATTAAGGAGATGTTTCTTCAGAAGCTTTCCAGAAGCGTTATACTCAGAACAACCTTGTGGGTTCTTTGGCTATTTATACAGCTGCATATACCCAAATGATCACTGGAAAATCAGAATAAAAAACAAAATCCAGAAAAAAACAAGTTACGGTGAAGAACTGAGATACTGTTAATTGAAGAAAAAAAGCACAGAAGACAGCGTGTAGATTTATTAGCCAGGGCAAGCAATTTCATTTAAACTCAGTATATCAGAACGAGACGTTCAACTCGTATGACTCAATGGGTAAAGATGCTGTGCTTACCTGTACAAATCTTGCAGTTAAGGTCAAAGAGGTGTGCCCTGTGCTCTGCTGTGGTGTCTTTCAGCATGCTGCTGAAGATGTCAGGCACCGGGGCGCTGGCAGCCTCCTGGCTGGCTTTCACTGCGGCAACCGGTGCGGAAGCGAGGGCGGGGGCTGAAGGAGGGGCCACGGCTTGGGCCGAACTGGCAGACTGTTTGAAATCTTCCAGGTCCTAAAGGATTTATTATTACAAACTTAACTCCCTACGCAACAAAGGATCATTACATGCACATTACTTAAAACTGAGTTTTTATGGATAAATAAAAATTATGAGGTGGATAAACTAATGCAGAGTTTCTGTAGGAGGTAATTATACAGAAAAACATCTAATTAATAAATGGATCCACTCAAGTACTACTGATGTGTGGCTTGGTATGATGTGTCAGAAGTCAAATTATACATGAATCACATGAAAGGGTAGTCAATCCACACTGCACTCAATCAGAATAGCCAAGAGCAGCCATCTTTTTGCTCCCTTTAGGTTTAGCCTCTCCTGTTACCGGGGAAAGGCCAGGCATACATCACTCACTAGGCCCATGGAAGGAAAAATCAACTTGGAGCTGAGTGAAAGGCAGGGGCTGAGAGAAAACCAGGCTGAAAAAGAGCCAAGGCTGTGAACCAAAGTCACGGTAAGGGAGTGTTAGCATGAAAAGGGAAAGAAGGTGAATGGGTGAGTATGAGTAAGAGAAGGTGGAAAGTTAAAGAGCAAGAAAGAGCCACCACTTACTGCCGCAGAAGCCATGCGAGGAGACGGGGAGGTGGCGGCGGTACATACGTCTCCATCAGACACGGGAGGAGACTCCTCCATGTCCACGTCGGGGGCTGTCTCTGGCTTGACTCCCGGCTTGGGTTGCCCGGGCTGGGGTCTGGGCTCCAGCACCTGCAGGAAACACCCAATGAGGAGGTTGGCAGAAAGGATTCACGATAGTTTCCCAAAGCATATGGCTGGGTGCCAACTACAAAGAAGCTCAGAGACTCTCTGTAGCGGAAAGCAGAGGGCTGACTGTGCGCCAGGCTGATCACCTCTGTGCTCTCCCGCTGTCTCCACTCGGCGATCTCCCTGGACAAGAGCTCCTCCGGGCTCAGCCTCACCAGCCTAAAGGGCGTGACTTCACCCCCGACAACGCGGTAGAACAAACCCTGGAGAAGATCCAAACACATTATCCAGATGATTGGGATTTATGTTGGAGTACAGGGCAAATAGACCATCCACAATACTAACAAATCATCAGTTCAATACATGAAAGACTGCTTCAGTTTGGCTTTAGAAATGACACTTTGCACTTTTGTTTTAGTATGTCCATGGAAATATACGGATGTCAAAATGATTAGAAATGAAATGTCAACATGCTTAAATGTAAAATAATCTCAGGAAATGACTAACCTTATTTTTAGGATCTTTCAGGTTGAACATGATTGACCTGTATTTGTTTTTATATCTGTTGTCCGTGTTGAGGAATAAGTTAAACATTTCCTTCTCGATGTTGACGGCGAGTTTTCCAACTTCATTTTCCGATATGGTCAGGTCATCACTGTCACTCACCCTGTAAACAGCCATTTTAAGCCACAAATGAAAAATAAACTAATATGGAGTTGTGAGCTATATTACCATTTGAATAAGTGTCACAAAAAGCATGCAGATTTACAGATGCAGAGTTTGGTTGCAGCCTCTCACCTCTTGTACAGGATTTCAGTAAGGGAGCGCCGGATATTCTGCCTGATCTGGTTATTGGGCTGTGGTTGAGCTGGAGGCTGTGCAGGGGCCGCCGGAGGGGCTCTGCTGCTGGGTGCCGAGGACGAGATGGAGGGCGCGGTCGACGCTGGCAGCGGCCTGGTGGGGGCCGCCGAGGGCCCCGAGCCCGGCATCTGTGGGGGCTCCTGAGGTTTGGGCTGCTTCTTAGGGATTGTGAAGGTCGTTTTGGTGACTCTCAAGGCCCCCGTGACATGGTGCCGGGAAGCAGGTGGACCAATGACCGTAGGCAATACATTGGGGCCAGATCCTGCACCTTGTCCTTGGCCGGCAGCAGAAGGTGGAGCAGGACTGGATTTCTGCAATTTATGAAATTTTCCAGAGGCTAGGGCATGTTTCTTGGCTGCCTTAGACCCGCTGGTGGGTAGCAGGATGTGCTTCTTGCCCTTGGCGGCTATCTTAGGGGCTCCTGCCCCTTGGGACCGCTTGCCCCCTTTGGGGGAGGCAGAGGAACTTGCAGATGACCTCCGCACAGGGGCAGTCTCCTTCTCGCTGTCTGCTTCATCGCTCTCCTTCCCAGCTTTTTAAAACGAGAGGGGGGGAAAAAATGCAGAGATGGTGAGCACCTTCTGACATGAGACATCAAACCTCCCTCACAACGGCTCCATGTCAGCATCCCTGTGACAGAACATTTGTAAGACATGGCTTTGCTGTCACTACATCACATAGAACACACAATGTGTACAAGTCTCGCACTACACGCCCCAGGGCTACAGAGGAGGAGCAACATTTGTCTTCACATGAGGGTGCAAAGATGGAGAATAGCTGTTTCCACATCACAATCTGGGTAAACATTTTTTCCATACTACTATAAAACATCATAATGGTGACTAAGAAATTGAGGCAAGCATTTACTGAGAGAGACTGAGATGGAGAGAAGGTAAACATGACAAGTTATGCCTTAAAATACTGTACAGGTAAATTACTGAAAGGCTCACCAAAAATATACTGAAACACAGATTTTAAATGATTTGCTTGAAGATAAAAAAATTGCATGGTATTGCTGTGTGTTGGAAAGGATTAGTTCATTTCCAATGCAGATGAACACACTTCAATTTGCCAAACATGCACAAATGATGTTTAGATATGACACACACCAAATTTTAGGATGTTAATTTTTATTTTCAAAGCCTCCAAGACAATAGAGTAAACAACATGCTGAGAGAGCTCAGGGCTTTCAGCATGGATACTTGTATACCGCCTGGAATCACGTCCATATTTTTGTTGAATTCTCTGAACTGGGACATTTTTAGCTAAAATTATGGGAACCTCAATTAGCAGACAACAATTAAAGCTGTGAATTGGTCAATTACAGAAGAATTTCCATACTCAAGAGTTCTGAGTCATATATTTATGTTTTATATTAATAAACTGGGTAATAAGAAACAATGCAATATTGAAGTATGCTGCTCAAAGGGAACTGGATGGTTTCATCCTCTGCAGTCACTGTCACTAGAAATCAACGCTGCACCATGGAAAACAAGATGCCTTAGTGAAAGGAGAAAAACTACTACACACTGCAAATACATTTTCCTGTGGGCACATAGGCACCTCAATACCCATGGGAATGAAGGGAAAAGACCAAACCACAATCATAATGGGACTAATTCCATGCGATGCATCTACAATACTACGAAAAAGGGATGACAAACAGGTCTCCCTGTGGATAAAGTAGATAGACCTTTCATAGTGAAAAGATGCGCACTACTGTCAAGACACGATGGTGCAAGATGATCACTGAATAACTAAACCAGCTGCATGTTGAGGCAACACAATCAAAATAACAGAAGAGGATGACGATACCACTTACTCTGGATCAGTACTGGCCAAAATCCCCTTTCAAGAGTTAAGTGTGTGTACATGAATCTGTACACCATAGTACAACAGGGGCAACTGGTGGTGTAGTATATATACAAAATAATGTGCAGCATTAAGACAGCCATTTAAGAAACAGCAAGAACCAATCTGGGTCAGCACTCACCCTTTGGGTAATCAGGTGGTTAAGGGTCACGACCCCTTCCTTTAGTGAAAATGGGTCCCCAATACTTTCAGTGAAGTGCTTAAAGCCTCAGTGCCTAGAGCCCAAAGGACATACAAACACACAACACTGACAACCATCTTACGGCCATGTACCTGTGAAAATACTAATTTTGCATGGGTTTCCTAAAAGACCTCACAGCTCCACAGGTGGGAGCCACTAGGAGGATGCAGTGCTGCTACCTGACAGCATTGCCCCATTGTACCACAGGCCCACAGCACCAGGTCATCCTGCTCTCACAATGATCTGAAGTTCTGCCGTTAAGCTGAAGGGTGTTTTAGTAAGAAAGCCCAGAGCAGCAATGCAGTCCTCTCTTCAGGGGCTACTACTGTGAAGGGTGCTCCAGGTTTCGAACCTTTGTAACACCAACTACACATGGAATCACTGCTCACCACGGAAGACAGATCTTTGGAAATATCAGTGTTTGCATTATTTTTGTTTCACCCCTTAAGTAATCCTTTGTACCACTTAGATGAGAGTCTGTGCCCTAAAACACAAACACCCAAATAGACTACTGAAAATGTAACTGCAATATTAAAAACAGAACACTAACATACCCACGGTTCAATTTCATTACTACTTACAAATTTTAGTTCCACACCAGCTTACAATGTTTTAAATTTGTAAGAGTTGCTATATTTTCCTCACATCTACTAAAAGATAATCAGTATGTGCTACATATTACTACCAGAAAGATGTTCTTAAAGTATAGCATACATATTTTGCCTACCAAAACTAACATTTTAAAACCAGACAGCTTTCAGCTGGCAGTTTGTCCTATCTTCAAGCTTCTCAAAGATCAAGTGTGCCTTGGATTAACACGACACCTCAAGTTCAGCTAAAGGGCGCAATAAGCTAGTCTGAAAGACCATAGCGGCATTGAGACACAATCAGCATCATGTGTGATTTTTACAGGCAACGTAAATAATGACCGCTTAGGACAGGTTGCAGGTTCAGGATACTGCCAAATGGACAGTGAAATACCTCAACACAGCTAAAATCATGACAACTTGACCTTAACCTTAAAACACCCCACAGCACGTCTTTGGAGATCAGAGCTTCTCAGACAATATTCAAAGGGCCAATTTGAAGTTCTCTTAAGCCCCAGAGGCAGAGGCCTTGACCGCTGTGCTTCCCTTTAGCCATCGCTCTCCACGACGCACTGGACTGCCATGGGCAGCACATGTCCGAAGGCTTTTTACCTGCTGCATGTTACCATGACATTCAGACCAGCTTCCTCCTCTTCGTTTTAAACTTCCCGATGTCTAACTCAGCAGTCATATCAAAGCCACTTTAGTAAGTTGCTTACAAGAGAACAATGTTCCCCTTTTGACTAAAGTTGCCACATTAAACCACATAGAATCCAAAAATTTACAGGTTCACTTCTTAAGGGGCTCCCATAAAGTCCTTGAGAACAGCGCTTAACCTGAATTACTCCACTGTACAAATATGCAAAATTATTAGTATGGGTTTGAATGTCAGTAGAGCAGACCGACGTTTGTGCAAGCATAATGTAAACAGTGACTTTAACGGTGTGGCATAGCGTAGCGTGCCATATCCCTAATCGCCGGCCCCAGTGCATCTGCGTCTTCCTGAGGTCCACTCCGCCGCCTCGTCCACATTCTCCCTCGCGGTTCTCCGGCACCACAGCAGCCGGGCCTTCTCGGGTCTCCTGACCAAGCGGGTTCCAGGCTTCTGCCCGCTATCTGCGGACTGATTGGATCCGCTTGGGGAGGGGGGCTATGTCACAATGCTGACTCAACGCTGAGGCGTTGGTAGGTGGCCCCATGCGGACCTGGCCCAGCCGAGTACTCCGGCCACAAGCATGGGTCGAGGATTTTTAATAAATAAACTAAAATGTAAAGAATGTGAAACTGGTCTTTATTTTATAAGCATTTTATCCTAAATGTTACTGAAACAAATCCATGTAGAAGAGCAAACCGTGAACAGAGCTGTAATGCTAAAATTGCAGATCCACACAGCCAGAATAAACCTGCAGAAGGCGGCAGCTCGGCCCAAAGCAGCGAGCCGGTGCCCTTCCTGCATTAAATGATGCAGACATGGGTATGCGAGTAAAAGCTTACGAGTAACACCTACCTGCCGGGGACCGTGGTGATCGCCGTCTTGGTCATGTTAAAAGGCAATTTTAGAAAATTAGGACAAATCCCACCCCTCCCCACCCACAGAGGGAAGGCAACATGAAAAAGGGTTCTGGAAATAATGATTATATAGTAGTAGGAATTAAGGAAAAGCTCTGAAATTCTAATACTCTGAATTTCACCCATTTTCTAGTTAACTTCTGCATTTGCAAGGGTCATACACCCTCACTTGTGCACTACAATACTGATCATTTTTCTCCATATACAGAAGGTAAAATAGCGGAGAAACCCATGCTTTCCAAGACTAAAGCAGGGTCAGAAAATGGGGGGCCAGTACCAGGTGCTCCTGAAGTCCTGCATGAGATACATACTTACCCAAATACCCTGCCAGAGCTGCCACAGTGTCATTCACTTACCTTGCTGCACCCATTCCCAGCATCTCGCTGGCAAAGCTTTCCATGGCACGTCACACACACCACCAAAACAAACCACTGAAGCGGCACCACAACAGCCACCAGTGGCCACCCAAAACCCCCCCACACCCCACGGCCAGCTGAGGTGATGGGAGTGTGCTTCAGAAACATTTTCGTTTGAGGGAGTGATATTTTTGGTTATGAAAACATGTCATGGTCCCTTGGAAAAATACAAACGAATCCTTAACACAGGGGCAAATAACGTAAGGGTGAAGTGTGGCAAACCTTCAAGTGATACATACACGATTTGTTATACACAGAGGATGCTACAGGTGCTGCCTTTTCTGGCGTGACAGCATTGTAATTATGGTCGCTGGACCAGGAAGACACTGGCGGCTCCTGCTCAATTGGCCTCGGATCTTCGTTGTCATCGTCATCATCCTCGTCCTCACTGTCCGATGCATCGTCTTCTGCCTTGCCAGATGATTCCGTGGACTTTCTGCCCGGATTTCTCCTTTCCGAAGCCGATTTCTTCTGAACAAAGGGAGACATGGGAGATCACAGTCTAGGTCTAAACTGACAGGCTAATGTGTTAAGCATTAGAGTTAAAGGTCAGTTACGAAGCAACTGAAAGCAGGAAATGTCGCATCATGGGTAGATAAAGAAACGGAATTTGACCAGCAGTAATGAACTTCAAGCTGAACGGACTGATGGCAGGACTTAAAAGTACATGAACTGGTGTAAAATATGACCACCCCTCACAGTGCAGTCAGAGCTAAAGCTGCCCATACAGGGGAGATTTTACTGTAGTCTCGCCCTCAGAAACCAGAAATCCAAGACCTGTACGATGAGCTTTATAAGCACTAAATATATGGCTCTACCACATGTATAAATCAGTGGACATGACTTCTAAAGGCAGAATGCAAAGGCAGAGTGGGGGCCCATCACACTTCATGGAGGAACCAACACCTCAATGAACAAATACCCCCCCCCAAGTTACAGTTCTTCTAAATGACTCAAGAAGTCCGCCCACTAAAAACTGAACGTGTCCATTTAATCAAGCTTTGGATACAAATACATAATAATAAATTGATTAATTTCACTTCTATCCTCAACTGTGGAGATCAGTATTGCCATAGTTTATGGGACGGTCTTAACCATTTAATGTTCTACAAAACTGACTATAACAATGAACCAGAGCACCATATACCCTATTAATATCAAATGTATTGTTTATAAGGCTATGACTTTACACCCCGAGTTGACGTAGTCAAAGTCAAGACACTAAGGTACCTGCTGGATTTTAATAATGGTTATAATTTTAACACAAACATCCCACACCTTGGGAGCTGCTCTAGCTGTAGGCTTCTTCTGAGCTTTGACCTTAGCCTTTTCTTTCGGTTTGGACTCCTTCACGTCCGTGATGGACTTCATTGCGGCTGCTGCGTGCCTCAGGATGCAGTCATTGCCACAGTATACGGAGTCTGGCAGGGCAGCCTTCTCGCAGCCAGGACCGATGCACTTTGGCAGGGATGCTGTTTCGACAGCCTGAGACCAAAAAATATCCCCAAAACCAATTAAAGGCCTTCCAAAGGAAAGAAATTCAGATGGGGGAAGAAGGGCAGATACACCTACCGGCTGAAATATCTTAATTTTCTTTTTTCCACTTGGATTGGTAGCTTTCTCTATCCTGCCTTTGATCCCCAGGTCCTCACTGGCTTTGTCCTCCGAACCAGCAGAAGGCACTGTCCGATCTGCAGGAGAGCTCTGCCGGGTCCTGCGGGCTGTCCGCTTCCCGCTCTCGGCGGGGGAGGCCGCCTGGCTCTTACGGGCAGAGCAATTTGGGCAGATGTAATCTTCACCGTTGCGCTCCATCAGACGGCCACGTGCCTCAGTGATACCCACACAGTCACCGTGAAACCACTCCTCACAGCGGTCACAGCAAATCATGAACCTGCACGCAGATGAATGGTGTAAGTGGACCGACAGAAAATCCGGGTAATGTCATATAACAGAGACACCAATAACAGGCCAAGTGACACAGACTAGCAAGGCAGACGGTCAATGTCACTTAGTATAAAGAAAAGGACCATAAAGATCAAACCTTTTATTGTGCTTCTGCCGGCAGATGCAATAGAGTGCATTGGGGTCGTATCCCTCGTTGTCAGATTTACCCGACGACTCTTCCTCTTCCTCATCATCGTCGTCGTCATCGTCGTCGTCATCATCATCATCCTCCTCCTCGCCTTTGTTGTCCTTACTGCCTTTGGCTCTCCGTCTAGTTTTGGAGGCCTTTTTGCCTGGAATGGAGTCCTTGATAGCTGCCAGAGTGCCTGCAGTAGTCTGCTCCAAGGCCTCCTCCTCCTCTGCCTTTTTCCCATCCTCCTCAGCGCTTACATGGGACACAGGCTCCTGTGCATCAGCCTCAGGGCCACCCATGCTGTGTTCCTCAGGCTCCTCTGCTTTCAGGGGAACAGTCTCTGTGTTCTCCTCATTCTCTGAGCTGCCATCCTCACTGACAGAGCCGCCTTTCGCGTCCTTCCTGCCCAATGCCTTACTGTCGGGCTTCCGCTCCTCAGTTGCCGCGTTGCCATCAAAGCTGGCCTCTGACGCAGTCTCCACGTCGGTAGGTGTCTGGGAGGGTGTGTCCCAGGTCTCCAGGTGCCCCGGGGCACTCCTGCGACCACCACGGCCCCGCTTGGCTGTAGAGAGGAACTCCTCCAGCTTGTCGGTGCGCTTGGCCTGCCGGCCGCTGCGGCGGACCGGTGCACTCCTGCTGTCCTGGCTCTCTGTTTCAGCCGGCATCTCTCGCTTGGCGATGGTGGTTCGGCGAAAGCCCCAGGTCTTCTTAAATTCACCAGCCTTCGCTGGTTTCCCAGAGTCATCCATCTTCTCTGCATCCTCATTGGTCACCTCCTCTTTTTCATCTACTGTTGAAGTAGTTTGAAAGAGATAATATGTGCATATAAACATGGTTATATCATTTAACACAGCCTTGAACATGACAGAGACATGAATATTTATACAGCTTTGGAAGAAAACATGAAGTAGCCCAGGGAACACAAGCAAACTAGAGGTACATCAGAAGGAAAAAAGCAAGGGGGCACACATGATGCAAAAGAAAGCACAAGTTCCCCCTTTCAAGCCTTTCCTCACAGTTGCACACCAAGCATGGTACCTTGAGAGCTGACGTCCACAGGATCCTTGTCTGGCTCTGGAGCTACAGAGGTGTCCAGGCTCCCACTGCCCTCCATAGCAGGGACAGTATTTTCAAGCTGAATATCTACAATTCAAAATAATCAAAATTAGAGGCTGGTAATCAGCTCCTTTCTACAACAAAGAGAAAAATGCCTACTTAAGATAGACTTAGGCATACAGGAGGTACCTCAAACACAGGGAAAAAGGAAATCCGTTATAACAGCTAGCCAAGCCAGAGTCAAAAGAAGTGTCTAAAAGCAGTCAAACAGCTTCCATCTGTGGCTGCCATTCATTAATCATTCTTTGGAGAGAACAGTAAGCAAGGGTGACCAGTGCCCTAAAACAAAGAGCTTATTGGAAAGCAATTCCAAAAGGCTCACCTCAGGTTACAAGGCCAATTTTATTACACAAATGGTAAGTCATAATGGGAGTAGCTTTCACAAGGTACAAAGCCTCTGGACAAGGATTTGCCATGTATTTATATTTAAATATTTGGAAAATTAAAGGCATGATGGCATGCTGCCAAACTCAAAGCAAAACAATGTTAATTTTAGTAACAAAACTGAAGCAGCTAATACCAGCCATTGCGGGGGCGGAGGGTTTTTTACGGTACTACTAAAAGCCAATGTTACGTTTTATATTTTCATAATTAAAAAAAGGAGACAAGAAATTCTTACACATCCAATGGTGATTTCCAGGATTACCATTTCCATTACGAATGTTACAGGCACATTTTACCATAAAATGATAATACAATAAAATGGCCTTTGGTTGAATACAGTTACGCTACTACTGTACTTCTGTGCACAACACAAATAAATTTACCCTTTTATAGTATTTGGAATTTATACCAAAAAATGTAAAAGCATCACCACAAAAATATGGCTACATAACAGTTTGCTTGTGGTCAGGCTATGTACACAAGTATTCACAACACATCAAAATCTGGGAAAAGGGTTCCCCCTCTTCCGTCGTCAAACAGGACATTCATAAAAGCTTCTTTCTATAGATGCTCAAAGTTCATTAAAATTGATTTCATTCAATAAACTGAATTTTAAAAACCTTGCTAAAATAGAATTGAGCCCAATTAGAGAACTGAAAGCAAAACTCCAACCCAAAACCTGACACAGGGACCTACTCAAAGAAACCCAACACTAAGCCTGGTTTACTCAATGCAGCCAGTTCCTGCTTTAGGACATGCACTCAGATCCTTGGCATTAGGGCTGTAAAGGCACATGAATTCATTACATCATTATTGGTTCAATACACACAATGAAAGAAATGGATGCATTTCTGGACATAGGAAACACCTAAATTCATAAGTAGATATTCAATGCAGAAGAAATGCCAAATGTAGCAAAGTTGGGAATAACTAATGCTGGAGAGATCAAAGACCCTCTCACATCACTTAAATCAGTAGCTTGGGAACATTTTGGTTTCCCAATAAAACTACACCATCACCAGAGAGAGAATAGTTAAGACCAAGACAGTCGGCTGTCTCACCGAACTCCAATATGCTGCTGGAAACACAAACATGCCAACTGATTTGAAACGTGATCAGTCCCTATGCTACCGGAGGAAGGCGTGAACAGTCTCTGCATGTTAGTCTCCTCCTGCCATCTTTTCCATTACCACGAAGAATTAAGCCGTACCGCGAACTGACGGTTTTCCATCGTAAATTCTGAGCCGTACCCACATGAACACAGCCCTGCTTATTAGCAGAGCCGAAAGTGTGAAAGACGAGAGCTGGCTGCATTACCATCATCTGATTGGTGAAATGCAGGGAGATAGTGTTCCGCATTCACGTGCATGGATTATCCGAAGGGAAAAAAGGGCACATTCTAGGGCTGGGCAATATACTTCAAATCAATAACACAATTACCTCGATTGTGATTGATAAACTTTTTTGTCCTCATTTCATTGGCAAGGTTTGTACTGTAAATATGCTTAACTATTAAAGCTGGAATATTTTAAAGACACACACCAGTTAATCATTTATGGTTATTGAATATTTCAAACTGAATTCAAGCATAAATCGCTTCAAATAAAAATGTCTAATGAAAAAGGTCATATTTTAGTTAATGTAAAAGAATGTTCTCTAAAAAGTAGAAAATTGTTTGCATTTCTTGCAAACAAATTACAGTGGAAAGCACTTACAGTGAACATCTGTTTAGATGAATTGATCACTATAACCAATTGTTCCTTTTTCTTTGTCTCTGGCAAATTACCATTTAATTGACATTTGTACATTTTTACACGATAAGGCAATAAAACGGACAGCATCACTATTTACTGAATTTTATTTACTCAATATGCTCAATATTCAAATGCTTTTCAAATTAGTACTGAACAAATTACTGAACTGTGTAAAATTTCAATACAATATAATAGAGTACTGTACATAAAATATAGCTTATTGTAGTTTTGCTACTGTATCTCGGTGACTCGTTTTTAGCCGTTTATCGTTAGCTTTGATGAGTGTTTGTCATTGAGAGAATTTTAATTTTCCATATGTTATGTATAACCTGAACACCGTAAGCACACTAAGCAGACTACTTGATTAATACAAGCAAATTTCAGTATTTGTACGGGAATGATTCTGTCCCAAGCATTCTGATCCATATAAGTGGTTGATCACTATAACCATGATCGCTATAAGTGGATTTAAAATACCACTATTTTAAATATTGCTAGTGCTGAAACCGATTGGTGGTATTACCACATAATGTGTCTTTGGTACAAGATGCTCGTGTTGCTGTCAGCACTGTCAGTTCTCACTGTTGCAGACTGGACGGGGTGGTCACGTGACAACACATATGGTACTATGTTTTTAAGGGGGCAGTACATAAACACACACTGGGGAAAATATTAACAGATTTTTTTAAGCATTAACAGAATTTTTAAATTGATGTAACCGACAAGGGCAAGATTACATTGATTAGGGGTTTGGAATGCTGTATGATTCATTTTCAATTAATTGCCCAGCCCTACCATATTTCTTAGTAGTATCACACATTGAGATTTATTGATGCATTACAACTCCAAACCACCTATTTAAAAAAGTACTACAGAGCAGCTGAACACAACGAATTTGTAGAGCTAGTTCAATGTAATGAATTCCGCTAAAGTTTGAAGCTAACATAAGACAGCAATTCTCAGACTTGCTAGTGGAAATTAGCACATAGTAAATCATGATGTATACCATGTGGACAGTAAATAAGTATCTCTTAAGTTTTACTTCCCTGTCACTCTCCAAACCCAGGAAACAAAACCCAGGCAAAGCCAACCCTTCTGAAGTGGAAAATCAAAGCGAGCTGGAACCGTGCTCTAACTAGTGTCTCTTTTGCAGTGCAGCTTGGGTACAGTTCAGTTACTGAATACCAGCGGTGCATCTCAGGTATGAGACTGTTCCTGTATGCCAGTGGAAAAGCACCATAACTTTTGCCAGGAATACGGGTGTATATGCAAATATGAAACCATACATGGCAGTATATGCTGCTTTATCTATCTTAATTTTTAGGGTGCAAATGAGCATCTCTTACGTTTTTTTATTCAAACATAGACAAACATTTGGTTTACAAATGTTCTTGATGGCTTTGGCAGTTGTAATAATTTCAAAACATTGTTCATAACACTCATTGTTTTCCTGCTGTATTATAATTGCACCCAACCTTGAGCTCAAAACAGAGGTGTGCACCAAACAGACTTGTACAATGTTACCCCCCAACTGGGACAGCATCTGATTTTGACAGATAAAACCAAAAATATTCTGTCCAATTAAAGGCAATTAATGAATAAAATTCCATTGAAACATTACTATCAACATGTGGAGTTTAATTGTTCTCATTAAAATCTAATGGGGAACTTTAAAGGTTAATCATTGTTTACTTAATTTGACCGCAAAGACACAGGGCACCAGCAAAAGCACTGACACAAGGATGAAAAGGACGAAAACGATGACTAGGAGTGGATGACTGAGGCTAAGAGTGAGGTTGTATTCACAGCGTGAACCCCTCAAAAATGTTAAAACAGCTGCCCGAGAGTACATACACCACATTACAGCTCACACACTAGGGTGAGGCGATGCCAAAAAAAAGATGATTGATGACACACGGGCATACACTATAAATTTAGTCAAACGTGTAAAGACAGAAAAAAAAAAAACTATACGGATAATCCAAACCGCTGGCATTAAATCTTGCTGACCAGGGTGGAGGGGAGGGACCATTTTTAGTCTCTGTGGGGAAGAGGAAAGGAAAAGATCGGCAAGCCAAATTTGTGATTTAAAAACACGTCAAGGATGATCTAAAACAGTCTGAAGTAAAACTTCACGCAAACTTTAAAAGACTGTTGGAAGTCTGAAGGGTTAAAGAAATATACGTTTACAAAAAAAGTGGACACGTAGGCTACAAGGCTGTATTGAAAGTCACATCATATATCTGTTATGCTGTGTGTGTAGCCTAAGCCTACATCCCAAATAAAGGCAATAACTGCTAGTCAGTCAGATTCCGACACCAGGTTACATGTCTTGTGGTCAATTACAAATACTGCCAAAGTACACAATCCTAGTAGATACACCACACTACTGTCCAAACAGCCATTCATGGCCCTGTTTACAATTGGTTTTAAGATGCATCCTATGTGATCAGACAGTAAGCAGACAGCTCTAAATGACAGTAAAACCACCACCAGGACATTGTGATCTGATCACTCAAACCACTTGTTGAGATGGCCTGGGACACATTTCATTATGCATCTCTCGTAGTGTAAACACCAATGTTTCCTGATACATCCCCTATGAGGACATCACAATAACTGAGCAGAGCAGTAATGGAATCTCAGCACAAACGGTCACCTGGACACCTTGAAGACGCATGATAAACACAGGGGTAAACAGCCGTCTACTTCTTATCCAATCACCCAAGCCTCATTTTAAATTCGAAGTGTAAACAGGGCCCATGTGGGTACATACATACACACACCATATTACTATTACCCCAGACAAAGTGATGTTCTTTCATATGCCCCAGCCCACCATTATTGAGGTATAATGGTACAGAGTTCACTGTTCGGTACAAACCTCACTTTTGGGTTCAGGGTTCAGTGCAATCTCAGTACAGCAGGGAGAAAGATTTGTTTTGAAATTATTAATAAAACAAAATACAATTAGAAACCGTTATAAACGAAAGGCAATGTGGCATGTCTGAAGACCATGTCACTTATATACACATTGAAGATATTTGCAAAATGAATTTTTTTAAAAAAGGTCATAATGTTAACTAAAATCTCTACAACAGAAAATGGTCACGGATCTGTAGTGGTAAGAACCCCTACGACCATAATATTTTAGCCTGATCTGAATTTCCCGGCAAAAGCACCTTAAGCGCCACAGGGGACTAACTTGCAGAGGCTATATCTGTCTTGCTCCAGTTGTACACCCTTAGATGATGTCATCTCATGAGTTAGCATGTTGCATCACCAGCAACAAATCCAAGTTTGGTATAACAGGTCCGAGTCTGGGTCTTACCAACTACTTTCTCTCCGGTGTTGGTGTAATTTATTGGGAAACCAAAATATTCCCAAGCTACTGATTAAAGTGATGTGACAGTGTCTGAGCTCTCTAGCACTAACCAACTCACAGCCAAAATTAGCATGTTTTCTGTATTGAACATAAAATTATGAATTTATGTTCTGCCCATGTCAACAAATGTATTGATTCATTTCAATGTGAATGAACCAAAAAGGTACCAAACACAAGGAATATGTATGCAGTTACAACCTTATACGTTAAAACTGGCAATGAACAAAATGACAGCAATTACAAGCATAAATTTAGAATAATCATTTTCTGTCAATGAAACCACTGAGGTTAGCTATAAGAAGCAGTAATGTTTAGTAAAAGCACTAAACATTAACCTGAATAATTAGTAATGCTTTAAATTAACTGCACCATCATAAAGCTTTAATGCCTTCATAGAACATTCAGTGCACCTTCACAATGCATTCAGAAGGAACAAGCATTCATTAACATCCTAACATACATTATCAGCTTTAATACACAATATGTGATTTAAATGTTTGTTGATGTATATTACAGCTAATGTGTCGATCATTGAAAGTTATGAACGGTGCTTTGAGACATGTTGATATACTTACACACTGCTTATGAATGTTCTAAGAATGCATGATAAATGCATCATGCAAGTGCACTGAATGTTCTAGGAATGCATTATGAACGTGCAGTTAATGTAAAACATTACCAAATAATTTACAGTAGCCACAAACACCAACAATCAAGGTTTCTAAAATGTCGCCTAAAGTCAAAAACATTTGCAGGCTGCTTCTCTTACAGTGTATATCAGGGGTATTCAACTAAAATTTAAAGAGATCCAGTTAGAGAAAACTTCTTGAAGCAAAGGTACGGA